CGGCCAGACGCTCGGCTTCTTCCCAGTCATGACGACGTTGAAGCTCAATTCGCTAGAATGACTATTGAAATCGGAGCTACTCAACATGTCATCCAACCGACGCGCATAACTCCGACCTCGGCATCTTGTCTGGATTTAATGTTTACGTGCTGCGAGAAGACAAAAGACATGGGGGTCCTCGAACCTCTGGCGAAAAGTGACCACTGCTCCAGTGTGGCAAGCACAAGACTGCCGTTACCGTATTACAACCAACGGAAGCCGACATTCAACAATTGGAAGACGGATTTCAACGGGCTCGTCCAAGCCATAAATCAGTCTGATTGGACACTACCACAGGATATGTCACTTGAGACCCGTTGGTCATTAATGAAGGGGAAGCTTAACTCGCTGTGTACTCGGTTCGTTACCATGAAGTAATCAAAAGTCGGACCTGTCCAACCGCATTGGTTTGATAAGGCACATAAGCAGTTAGCGCGACAGTGTCGCAAATTTCGTATTCGCCCATCAGTTTAAGTTGTGATGAAGATTACACAGTGTACAAGAAACAGCGTAACATATGTAACGCCGCGAAGACCAAGGAACGCCGGCAGTTCGAAGAGGAGCTAGCAGCCTCGGCTACAACTGCCCCTAAGAGAATAGTTGCCTGCTTGAAACGTCAAATGAAACCCGCGGGTGACCTACTGGTCTTAGAAGGCTCGAACGGACAGACGCTCATTTCAAGCGCGGAACACGCGGACGCCTTGGCTTTGCACTTCCTCACCGTATTTTCCAGTAAACCGGCGGCTGTTCCAGTACCGGCACAGGTTGCGCCAGTCTTGCTCGACAGCCTACAATGTGATGCAGTCGAAGTGGTCCACCTCAATGTTGCAAAGCCCGCCCCCCGACCAGACGGACTTCATTCAATAATACTTAAGTCCCTATCGAAGGTTCTCACAGCCGCGACAAACCTATTCAAAAATCACTCTATGAAGAATCTGTCCCCAACGACTGGAAATGCTCGATAGTCAGACCGCATCCCAAGGGTAGTGATTCAAATAAAGTAGAAAACTATAGGCCGATCTTACAAAGTCCTCAAGAAGGTTGTGAAAAAGTGCCTGCTGTCCTTCTTCGAATCGACGGTATTGACGCCAGCGCAACACGGCTTCACGAAAGGGTGATCCTGCATCACCAGCTTGATGTACATAAGCCACCAGTAGGTATGAGCTCCCAACGAACGGAAATATGTTGACGTGGTGTACATTGATTTTAGTATGGTGCTTGATAGATAGAACCACGAGGTACTTCTTCGTAAACTGAGGACCTACGGAATCGGTGGCGTGCTACTTCAGTGGTTACGCGAGTTTATTGTGGGACGAAAGTTTAGAGTATAGGTCAATGGCTACCTGGCAGACTGGTTCCCATCGACCAGTGGCGTGCCTCAAGGAACTGTACTTGAGCCAGTATTATTTCTTATTCATATCAATGATGTCCCGTAGCACCTCCGGACATCATGTGTCCTGTTTGTAGATGATCTGAAAATCTGGAGGATAATTGAGAACCAGGACGACTGCGCTCGCCTCCAGCACGACTTAGATCGATTGTCAACGTGGTCCACTGAAATGCAACTCCCTTTTAACGCAAGCAAGTCCGAGTTCATCAGTATCACCAGAGGTGCAGCCACTCGATCATACACATACGGCCAGTTGGTCCACCCTAACACATCTGTCAGAGATTTAGGAGTCCTCTGGCGACATGATATGAGATCAATAGAAAATAAAGAAAAATTGTGCCGTACGGGACATCGTATGCTGTGGGCATTATGACGCAGTTTCTCCACATGGTCCGAAGAAACTATCCCTCGCCTATTCACCTCGCTCATGAGACCAATCATTAAATACAGCGCCCCAGTTTACCACGGGATAACCTAGTGGGAAACGGAAAAGCTAGAGAAAATAAGGCACATCGCAACTAGAATGATTCTCAGTTTAAGAAAGCTTTTGTAGGAAAAAGGTTTTGAAAGGCTTGGACTATACACACTATCCTACCGCCGAGTAAGACTTGACCTTATGATGACCCATCGAATACTACGCTCGAATCACTGCCCCACACTGCGGCTAATATTTCACCTGCGGGAACACTGTAACATCCGAGGACACCGTTACAAACTCAGGGTTCCCTGCATGAACAAGATATCACGTCAGCTTTGTAGAGAACAAAAAATCGTAAGCATATGGAATATCAGAAGGACTAATGGAGGCCGATTCCGTGAAGTGTTTTAGAACCCGTATCGACGATTATTTCGGAAGCCAGTGCTTTTTTGAAACGGTGCACATACAATGCAAAAATACATCCTATACCCGAAAAAATGACACCAATACGAATTCCTAATTGAATAAGGATAAACGAGTAACTGACCAAACACTACAGCTGACGATTCGCAAATAAATGTTTTCGATTTTTCATAATTCGATAGAATTGTACAGAAACTGTTCTAATTGTTCTTAAATACAGTCTCGGTCGCTGAACGGTGATCGACCAAAGAATAGAGACATAGACGCCTTATGAGTCATGCGCACGTAATCGAACGGTCATAAAAGCCATAGTACATCTCCAAGATTAGTCACAACAAGTGATGTATCGATTTAATGTAAGGTGACTTCACAGTGAACAAATTGGGAAGGGGTATTCGTAATTTCGCGAGCTGAGCTACTCACCTTATGACCACTGTTACCAAGCGGCGTACTGGCATTTCGAGGAAACAAGCAAGCAAAAATATGGTTACCAGAAATCTATCAGTCTTCCTTTACATTGTCTGATCAACCTGTATTTTGGTATTATTTGCCAAAGAACGGAAAGCCTAGAGGACAATGTCATTCTCAGCACCCTATTCTTCCATGTCTTCAGAAAAATGCTGTTCAACTTTCAATCTCAGCAACTATACTCAAAATAAATAAATAAACTTTTATTCTTGACTACGCAAGACGCACTTAGAGGCAGGATCGTGGGCCTCTAATAGCCCCTTTCCCTCGCAGCTCTACGTAAGCGCGAGTGAGGAACGGTGTCTCAGCCCGCATGCAACTGCTGACAGCTGCATGGTAGCGAACTGCCGATAAGGGGCATAGGTGTACTGACGAGATATCCTTCCTCTTTGATTACGCTATTGAAGATGTTCTGTCGAAAACTCTAAGCGATTCCTAAGATTTGCCTTGTGACCTATTCCACATCAGCGCGCGATCGAATTCAACAATGTTAATGGTATCGCGTTGCTGAGTGATAACCTGGAAAGTAGGCAAACTGAACTGAGCGGTTTTGAAATAGAAACATCCGGGTACGGTATGTGTCTCGCTCTTCCAAATAGTAAAATGTTACCTAGGCATTGGCGTTCATCCGCTTCCATCGTCACTATTGAATGCATGTAGCTTGAACAAGTGAAAAGCTGTATTCGCCTGTGGAACTGAGTGCATGCTAATGACACTATCCGATAAAGGCCAGTCGGCAGTTGCGATATCGGTGGAACATGTCCATCCCAATAAAGGGTCAAGTTTAAAAAGCATCTGATTTCGAGTGGTGTTGCTGTATGAAAGCGAATCCTGGACAATTTGAGTGGAAGACTTTTGCCACCAGTAGACTTACAACAACGAATTCTCGAGAGAGATTGTTTGTGCTTGGTAATAACCCGATTTCTCAGTGATGAAGTTGGAAGTTGTCACTTACGGAATATGAATAACATCTTCGATGAGGTAGCTTTGCTAGGAAGGTAAGTTTTCACCAGTGCAAATGTGCGGAGCACGTGAACTCCGTTCACTCTAGCAACTGCCCAAAAATCCTGAACGAGCTGAGCCCAAGGTCAACCCGGCTGGTGCCCAGCGCACCGGAAAGATATCGAAAAACAGACCAGCGTTGGTTTGTTATCATTACCCATGGTCGAACGCGCATTCAGCTAGTACAGGCTGTACTGTGTGAATTCTTCACCCGCGTTTGGTTCACGTTCTGTTCTCAGAATAAACTCCGGTTTTTCGCATACTCGCCCCGCTCGTTCTTCATTGCTGGGGATTGGCCTACGCTATACTCTAGCAGAGTCCGGCACAACAAGTTTCGATGCGCCAATCCTGACCACTGTAGTTTGCGCATACCGTACGATCATTTGCCTCACTATACCCTATTCGTTCATGAAGAATTCGACTGGCAGTCAGCCTTAACGGTAGTACCACAAGTCGCTGACTTTACGGATAACATCTGCAGGATACAAGAGTTATCCTGACCGGAGGTCGACACGCTTAGAGATATGACATACAACGGAAATCCGTGGAAGACCAGTGTGTAAAGTTGTTTAGAATCATGTGTTTAATGCTACAGCCGTTGACAGCTATAAAAAAGTAATGCGTGGGGAAACGCCCAGTTTCCTTCTCAAGAATGGCCGCACCCTTTAAGCATGGTTTTCTATGGTTAATTGGTTTTCCTGAGTTGTGAATTCTTTGCACTGGGCTAAGTCAGTACCACAAGGACTGGAAGCACATCGCTCGGGATGAAGCCACACTTTGATCTCACGAAATCTAAAACAAACATCCACATCAAATTAGTAAAGTATGGGAGACACTGCTGCCTCAGCGATTCAAAGTGAAGATCATTTGCCTTGAACCGAAGTCTTAAAAGACGGTTGCATCTACAAGCATCATATGCTAGTGTCCTGAATCCAGCAAGTTTCCTCAATTAATTTGTACGGCATGAAATAGGACATAAGTTAGCCATCTGCCGGTCCGCAGCTTTAAGGACCACAAGCCTGTCTGGAAATATGAGGGCGCGGACTCGAGTCCGCGTAAGGACCAGGCGACCTTCGCAGTATCCTTAGCCCACGTGCGACCGGTGGTGGTTGTGCGGTAGCGAAGTGTCGGTACTGCGTACCGGCGTACTGTATATGCCATTTTGCATTTTCTCCTTTGCACTGTGACTCAGCAAAGGAATGATGAAACGCAAATTAGCTAGAGGAACACATAGAGCATGATGAGAATTGAATGAATTACCTCCGTCTTCTTGCCATTTCCTGGCCCGATGAGGGCCCACATTCGACATAACAGCAAGCCGAATCAGCTCAATGCCGTGGATCCGGACGACATCGGTTGGGTCCACTCCGTTCAGTTTCGATTTGCTCATCTTGTCCCATTCCATGCGGAGTGGAATCATGGTGCCTTTTTCCACCCAAGTAGTTTTACCTAGAGAAAATGTTTCACTCGATTGATATATAAGGTGTGTCAGACAAGTTACCTCGGTGAAACACAAAACAGCTTGAAGTACAATGAAAACTGGGTGTCAAAACCATGAAAACTAATGAACGTAAGATCGATCATGCACACGTGAGGAGTGATTTGATTTTGAGAGCCAAAAAGAGGCAAAATGATGAAGGTTCGCATCTATATCAGTATTCACATGAGACACGGTGAAAAAAAAGCTTAGTATTTAAGTGAAGAGTATGGAATGAGCTGTTTGGTAGGGATGAGAGCAACTGAGCGTTCGCTAAACAGAAGCCAAAGGAAAATACCGAGGGCCTGTATAAGGGATGTGGAAAAGGTGTAATGAAACACAGGGAGTGTTAAGTTCGGAAAAAGTTTAACTTTTGTGTAAGCGGAGTAATTTCCCTTAAGAACCCAGAACCTTTATTCCCATCATCATCATCATTACACACATCAGCTAGAGGTGGGAAAACACCTCCGCTATTGTGCCGCAATACATGAAAGAAATACATACATACATACATATAATACAATACACAAAGGAAAAATAGATACAACAGTTGCATGCCAACTGAGCTAAAAGCAACGGATAGGCATCGTTCCGGTAAGCTTCCAGCCAGCTACTAGGCAAAAAGAAAAAAATGTTATGTTTTACCCTAGGAAATGATATCGTAGATGGAGGGGGAGGCTAAAAGGGATGGGGAGGGACAAAGAAACTCACAGCACAAACGCCACTTTATTCCCATACAATTCCATCAACAGCAGGTAAACAGCTACGCGTTCTAAAAGGCAGTGATATTAAGGTACCTAGTTAACGCATATCATGTATGTCTTGACGGCAAAACATCTTGCTCCCATCAGGCTGCTGATAGCCATAACGTTGTGCACAAATGCTTTCATCCGCAAGCCTAGTTACGGGTTCGGCCTTCTATAACCATGATTACATGAATATACCGTAATTCCACGCTAAAGAGTTATCCGATCAGGCGGTGCGTAGAGGCTACGTTTTATAGTTCTCAGAACCGATTATGCATGCTTAGTAATATGTACTTGGTGTAGCTTAGTTCTTCGGTGACAGGGGTTCGCAAAGTATACGCCTAGTTCAAGAGGCAACATCCCTCCTCCAAGTGGTTCGGATTACCGTAACGATCCCGTTTGACTGAAGCCTAACGGATAACGTGTCCGTCTTCAAAAACAGTGCGCTGACAGACTGCAATAACCACAGATTGATTAGTCTCATCTGCATCGCATCAAAAGTGCTCACCGCTCTGCTTTTAAGGAACCTCAGGTTGGTACGCGAACAGAACACAAAAGAAAAGCAACCTGAGTCCCGCTTCGGCCTGAGTTATACTGATGCCATATTAACGCTCCGCAAAATACTCCAACGTCGTCAAACGTTCGGCAAGTCAACGACCGTTGTCTTCTTAAACCTATGAGCCGCGCATGATTCAGTCGACCGAGATGCTCCCTGGAGTTGTCTTTTGAGAAGAGAAGTGCCCGAGAAGTATAACAACAATCTTCGTGTCATCTATGCTAAACCCTCGGGACGAGTGCAGGTGTACGGCAAACTTTTGCCTCCTTCAGTATCACCAGTGGCACCACGCTTCCTGTTTAATTTCACTACGGGCGACATCCTAGAGAGCGCTTTGGAGCAATGTGAACCCAGTTGCGTTAAGCTGCTTCCGAGGGACCGACTTCGCAATCTGGAGTTTGCAGACGACATCGCCATAATTTGTACTTATTCACAGACCGCACAAAAGGTGCTGTACATGTGGGAGGCGTCTGTCTCCCACTTTGGAATGATGTTCGCCCCCTCGAACTATAAGGTCTTCCTACAGTACTGGCTAGGAGCCGCTCCCAAACGTACTCTTTCAGTTCATTCTCTGGAAGTGGTAAACAGGTTCGTTTACTTTTGAAGCTGCGTCAGTGCTAGCGGTTTAACGGATGAGATCTATCTGCGCGTCTCTAAGGCCCGGGTTACGTTTGCTAATCTCCGCCATCTCTGGCGTCAACGTGACCTGGATCTCTCATTGAAAGTCCGAGTCTACAATGCAACGGTGAGAGCGGTTCCGCTCTATAGTTGTGAAAAGGCCTGTTCGTGTTTTGGACCTTCAGAGGCTGGTGCTTTTGGATCACCGCTGTCTCCGGAGTATTGTTGGCGTACGGTGGCAACTTTATAAGAGTAATGAGAATGTTTGTCGAGAGATTTTCAGATCAGACAGAGTTTGCCGGCAGCTGAGCCGCATAATTTCACTGCATAGGCTTCGGTGGCTTCCGCAAGTGCTTTGCATGTCTACTGAGCGTTTGCCTCAACATTTGCGCGCTCAGAAATCGGTTGGAAGCGAAGACAAGACCAACAACAAATGACTTGGACCATAAATAAAAAGGAGCTGACTTCACAGTTGGCCGCGGTTGACCACTCTCGGCTACCAGGTTGAGGGCGCAAGCAGCACGAGCACACATGGCTGGAAACCCTCTTAGACATGCATGAAACCATGTGCAATGGCGAACATGTGAGACTCTAGCCCCATAATAACAGTTTAACACTTTTCACTCATTCATCTTTCATTATTGTTGTGTCCTATTTATCCATATGTTGTGACACGCTGAAAATTGTACTGTCGGTCGAGTGTTCCACATCCGAAGGTAGAGCGAAAAGTTTCCGAGTGCATAAAAGATATTTTCACAAAATAAGCATTACATTTTGTCGAAGTACTCTCAAGCAGCGCTCATGCACAGTTCCATGTGCTCAAACCATTTGCAGAAGCAGCTAGACCATGCCGAAGCTGGTAACCCTTCAAGCAGCTCAATAAAGGCCTTTACTGTAGCATCTGGAGACTCGTCGCGGATTCCACGCATCATGCGATTGACATTTGTGAACACACAAAAGTCATACGGGGCCAGGTCTGGACTGTACGGTTAGTGACCAACCTACTGGATGCGTTCTATAGCCAGAAAATCTAGGACGACATGGGACCTGTGTGCAGGTGCGTTGTCACGGTGTATTAAGGTAACTCGTGCTCTAGTTCTTGGGCGACGCATGGCGACAGTTTACAGCACTTATAACAAACAGTGGGTGGCATACCAATCTCCGGTAACTGTGCGTTGCCATATGAGCGGTACAGTAGCCACATAACCGGCCTTCGCCACGAACACAGCCACCATCCGCTTGGCCACACTGCGCTCAAACCGAAATTTCTGAGGCGACGCTCCACCAACGGCCGCTCACTAAGCCGATTGTTGCTTGGTGTCTGGGTCGAAAGTATACACCCAGGTCTCATCACCACTGACAGTCTCCCAAACAGAACTGGAACATCCAGCATCAAACCTGGCAGGTATGGTGCGGCACTAATTCACCCGAGCTGCTTTCTGGACCCCATTGAGCTGATGGGGCACCCAGTGTGTGGAAACCTTTTTGAGGAGCAGGTTTCTATGTAGAATAGTGCGGAATGGTCCCATTGAGATGCCGACGGCTTTATCTGCTGTACCAATCACCCACGCGTATTCCGTCAGCATCGATTGCATATCGGAAATGTTGTAGGCGGCGATGATTTTCATAGGTCGACTACACCATGTAGCATCAGCCAGGGACCGCCTGTAAGGCATGAATTCGGCAAAACACTCAAACAAGGTGGTTCGTGAAGGTGCATCATCCCCAAACGCAGCACGTAACCGCTCAACCAACATTTGTACCAATAGAAAGTTGTCGCCCTAAAGAGATATCAATGGAGCTCTATACTTAGTCACAGAATAACGAGATTTATAAATTGAGAGCTCAGCTGTGCTCGGGTTCCGGGTTGAAATCACCAAACAATTTTCAGAATGCATCATAGTTCACATTTTCCTGCCAAGTCATCTGCACCTAACCTGTGTAGTGCGCATCCGAAAATGCACTGCTTTTATATATGGTTGGCGGCATCCGGTTTCGGATTTGCCTGTCACTGTGGCAAGCCACAGGACGCCTGCGCCTACAGAGGGACCATGGACGGCTTGCGCTGCACCACCCACAGCTCCAACCACACACCCCATATCCAGTGTAAACCCGAAGGAATAAGACCGGGAGGCATGCGGATGGGAACCACGTTTCATCAACGGAGCCGGCCCACACTCCTTCACAGGCAAACACAAGCACGCTGTATTTGGGGAATCAAGTGCACACAAGGCGGTGGATGGACCGTAGCCCGCTCCACACTGAATGCATGGAACCACTCTTCGAGCCTAACACGGCCACAAGGACCGTGCACCCCGTCCCCTCCAGCAACGACCAACTGTCTCCTGGAGCCAGTATGGACGACGTAGTGGGTAATAGACAGGTAGTCACCTTGTCATCATGCACATCAAGCGCAGCCACACCGGGGATATCAAACAACAGCCAATCACTTGAGAGAGAGGGAGAGAAAGAAAAAGAGAAATACTCGATTAATGCATAAGGAAACGGTGACATAAACCTTAATTAAATAGCATACGTAATAAGGTATTTACAAACAAATCCTAGCTAAGTGCACGAGGTCAGGAAGTATAGTTCACGGTATGCCACGAACACAAAAATGTTATGGAAATCGAATACAATTGGCTTAGGCGATGTGTGCAAGTTAATGGAATAGAGTACAGGGAGATATTTATATGAGAAAGAAAAGCATTAAGGTAAAAAATGTAAACCCACCACCTGAAATAAAGAGACTTAGCATGCAAGCACGCGGTTAGTAAATCGAATTCAGCGTGCCTACAAACGCTGCGCCGGCCCGTCGTAATTCTCTGCAGGACCCGTCGTCGCTTCTGTAGTGGCCCCAAATGGCACAGCTCATGGCCCACTAGACATTTATATGAGAAAGAAAGGCATTAGGAGAGAACCGAAAACCCACCACCTGAAATAAAGAGACTTAGCATGCAACCATGCGGTTAGTAAATCGAATTCAGCGTGCCTACAAACGCTGCACCGGTGCTGCCTACGTTCACTGCGGGACCCGTCGTCGCTTCGGCAGT